GGGTAGAACTCTGGAGTGTTATACCTCTGAACTACATCCCCAGGCTTTTCCATTTTATTCTGAGACAGGGTCTCGCTAAATTACCTAGGCTGTCCTTTAGCTTGCCATCCTCCTGCCTCAGCCTCCTGCATAGCTGGGATTGCAGATGTGTTGCGCATTGGCTTTTCCAACTACTTATTATGAATAATTTTGTAATCAACATAAGCATTTAAACAGACTTCCTAGCCTCCAAACCCTCCATCCTAGCCTCCTAGTCTTCCTGAATATAATATTTTTGGTGAAGACTTGCTGTACTCATTGAACCTGTAGAGTTCTAATGAAAAAAATCTATACCATCTACACCTAAAAAATAAATATTTTTAAAAAATCTATAGAATATTTAAAGCTTTTAGCTTGATGTCCAAATTTTTCTCCAATGTGACTTTATTTCTCTAATATCTCAGTACTTTTGTATAAACTCTGGATCAGCCAAATTGCCCTACTTGATGTCACTAGAACAGATCAAACACATTTCTGCCTTCAGAAAGGGGTTCCTGCTTCCCTCAGCTTGTCTCTCTTTCCTTCTATAATAGGTGACCATTGGTTGTCCACCCATCCCATAGGGGTGGATCTCTAATCACAATTGTTTGGCCCAAGAGTTGTCACCAAACCCAAGCTGTGATAGTCCAAATCTCTCCCTGGGGAACTTAGAAATTGGACCAAGAGCTAGGGTCAGCTTTCTCAAAGTGGCCACATCTGGGTCACCGTGGTGATTTTCTGATCCATGGAGACCAGAAATGCTGTTGGAGACACAGGAACATGACAACCTACACAGAAGGAACAAGAGACAAGAGTCTTTTCCCGTATAGCACCCAGATCTTCTCCCTTGCTGGAACCCAGTTATAGTCCTGCTTTGGATTCTGTCAGATGCTGGGCTTGCTAACGCTGATTGTTCCTATTTGATTTCATAAAAGTGGGTCCCCCTGTTTCTCCTTTTCAGGTTGAGCTCCAGTTACTCTTGACCTATGAAGGCTTCCTGGACCACTTGCCCCTCAGCCTAAACCTGCCTCCATTGGCTATTAGTGCCACTCACTTGGAACTTTCATTACTTTGTTTCAAAATCAAGATTCTGGGGGCTGGGGTTGTGGCTCAGCGGTAGAGGGCTCACCTAGCATGAGTAAGGCCCTGTGTTCGATCCTCAGCACCACATAAAAATAAATAAATAAATAAATAAAATAAAAGTATTGTGTCCAACTACAACTGAAAAAATAAATATTAAAAAAAAAATCAAGATTTTCCAACCTTGCTGGACAAAGAATTGTAGATTAACAAAATAAAGATTAACACATTTTGGTTCTTAAAAATTTTAATCATCTTGGGCAGATCTTTTGAAGACAGATGACAGATATTACTTAGTTTATTAAATGGAGTGCACTACAATTTTGTCACTTCTGGGTCATTATTAAGATCAAACATTTTAGGGACAAGGCATAATTCAGTGAATCTATAGGTTTGGTTAGTATAATGAATAACTACTATTGAAACAACAATGAGTCCTCTCTTTGAAAAGGGGAAATATGAAATCAGCCACATGAGCTCCCCTTTAAAAATCAAAACTGTTTGGGTTGGGGACGTAGGTCGTCACAGAGGGATTATATAACATATACAAGGGCCTAGGTTTGGTCCCAGCACAGAGGGAATAAAAAGAGTGGAAATATTTTAATTAAAGAAAAAATATGGATATCAATCAAACCACCCTAGACCTAAAGATGTTTTTAAATTCAGATGATGTTTTGTAAAATATTTCAGTCTTGTGCAGATAAGAAAGCTAAGTTTCTGACTTAATGAATGACTAAAAAGGTTTAAGTGATTTATCATTTAGGTTATCAGATATAATTAATTTTTATCAAACAACACTCTCCATCTATCATGAGCAATGAGTTTTTCTCTGTTATTTCTTCATACTTGTGGGAAGATTAAAAAAATAATCTGTCAGGAAGCCCATATTCATTGTTTATTTCTATGGTATACAGTCATCAAGTGCAGTGAAACATGTAATTGTGGGATGTCTGAAAACGGGTGTGGCTGATGTCAGAGTTCACAAATTATATTTACTGCCAAATTTTACTTGTTTGGTTTGGTTTAGAGCGAGGTCCCCTTGTTTTCAACTCAAAAATCTCTAGCGTAATTTTTATTTGCTTTACTTTCAAGCAAACGGTGTTTTTTAAAAAAAATCAATTATAGTCACCGGAGAACATATTCAACATAAATATACATTTTAAAGAATGAAAAGTAAGTGAGCACTGTGCCTAACCTATGGGTTAAGAAGGAGAACATTGTCCATGTCATAGCAAGTCCCTGGGGGCAAGGGGGAGACCTCAATTACTTATCCCTGATTATACCACTGAGGCTATCGATGTCCTGATTTTTAGAATAATCATTCCCTTTTAGGGTAGCCATCACCTGTGTGCTTCCCTAAACAAGACAATGTTTAGTTTTGTCTGTTTTGAACTTAGTATAAACAGACTTACTGTGTATTTCTTCTGTGACTTGATTCTTTTCAGTATTGTGCCATCTATACTGATGTGCATAGACGTTAATTCATTATCTTTGTACTGTATAATTTCCTTTCTATGGATATATATAATTATATATTCTAGGGCTGGGGATGTAGCTCAAGTGGTAGCGTGCTCGCCTAGCAAGTGTGAGGCACTGGGTTCGATTATT